GCCGCAAACAAACTGGCTCGCTCGGCGATTGCCAAAGAGTTGCTGCTCTTCTCGTCTCGATGCGCGATTCGTTTCCTCTCCGTTCGAGAGTAAATGTCACGCGGCATGCACGATATTGCAAAATATCGACGCCGAACGACATTTTTGCATGAGATGCCTTTTGGCTTTATTAAAAAAGTGGGTTGAGCGGCAGTTGAAGGCGAGCGCGCGCGGCGCCAAGTGTGCCATTTCTCGAAGAGCACCACAGGATCAGCCGGCTGAATGGAAATGTCACAAAAATGGGAACAAAAGTCGCGTTGTTTGCATGGATGGCTTTGTCAAATGGTGCTTTTGACCCGTTTACTGCCATGCAAGTAAAAAGCATCGAGTGTTGTTTCTTTTAGCAGATAGAGTTTTTTTAATCAATCAACTGTAAATCTGTAATTAAATTCAATAATCGAAAATTCTAAAAGCATTGAATGCATATTAATAATTTATAATTTTATATATTGCTCATGTGACTTGCAAGCTTGAGCTATTATAAATAAAACTATTTAATCGTGTAAAAAATAAAAGATTGAAGTTCAAAACGTTTTTATTTAAAATTGTTTTAAAATAAAATAATTGTAACAAATATTAAAATTATATTTTAATTTTTTAATTGTATTTAACTTTAATTTTATGTTAAAATTGTAGCACAAAAAATTAATCGAACACATAATTTTATATATTTATTATTTCTAATAGACCTCCATGATCTTAAGAAAAAATACTAAATCTGAGACAAAATATATTTTTAACTTTTAAAATTTGTGGCTGACTTGGCGAATAATTTCTTTTTTGTCGCAGAAGTTTTAGTAAAATTTTTGCAATTTTTTTTGTCAAAAAGGTGAGTTTCCCTCGATGCATTTTTTCTATTGATATTTAATTTATAAATTTTTGTAATAATTTGGACGTATAAATCGCAATATAAATCATTTTCTTTAAAATTGATTAAATTTTCTAAAGTTGCAAAAATATTTGATATTACCGAACTTTTATGATTCAATCTAAAATTGAAACATTTGCTGCAAGGTGATATTTATTATCAGTTAGAAAATTTACATTACCAATAAGATTTTTATTATTTTAATTTTCAGAAAATGGAATAAATCATATGTGTTCAGAAGAATAATGCTCTGGAGCACCCCATTAATCCATGAAAGTCAATTTTCCCCAAGATTTCCATTTTCTTTGCCACCTTTCACATGCACTCTGCTCGATCTCTCACTTAAGCTTAAGCCACTCTTGAATTACATCCTTGCAATTTAAATTTAAAATCAACTCTGCGCGTATGTCTCTCTCGAGTGTCTGATTAGATTTGCAGACACCCGTGCAAGTGCTTCCTTTTCCTCGAGTTCAAAAGTGGCTCTGAAATAAATTCACCGAGACAAAGAAGGCAGCCTGGGTGCTCGATGCAGTTGGGAATAAAACGCGCGCGGCCGTCGTTATGGATGGGGCAAAAGTTGGTATTACACAGCGTAATTCCCCGCATAAGCTTTCTTTAGCCGAGCTAGAGAAGTACGGGTGTGTGTGTGTGGATCTCTTCCAGCGAGGGAGCAAAAAAGAAGAGCCGTCGCTCGCATAAATCCGCACGAACACATCTCTCTCTAGCGCTCTCAGTCCGACTTGGCAATCAAATCGAGCACAGCCGCTTCTTACACGGAAAATTTTCCGCAGCTGCAGAAGAAATTTATACGTATTTTGGCCGCCGATCAATTTGCTCAGCTGCGGTTAAGGAGCCTCGTGGGGGCTGCAAAAGTGCATCCGGCACTTTACCCTTTTATCAAATGAAAAAGTCACAGTTTATTTTCAATTTTGTGGAAGAGTGTGTCTTAGTATTGATCTTAAAATTTTATTGAAAACGTTCGCTACAGAAGCCAATAATAAGATAACTGATTAAATGTAAACACAGTTACTATGAATTTAAAAAGTAAAATTTAAATATTTTGTTTAAAATATTTTTTATGTCATTTATTAGTTTTAACAAATATTTGTTTTCTACATATTTTACATTGAATCTAATTAACTTGTTAATTTTCATGGAAGCTCAAATTCAATCAATCCACCAATTATTGGCAATATTATTTGGCAAACTAAATAATGATATATTTAACAATCCATTCGCCTACTGATGATCATGTGTTTTTCCACAATACCTTTTTTGTGTGATTCCTTTTCTCTAATTAAATTACATGAAAATGCAATTTGAAATTAAAATTAAAGTCTTTCTCAACCACAGTCCCTTTTGATCGCGTCGGGATGATTTTTCTCTTCAATATTCTTATGTACTAAAATTAAATTTCAGTAAATAATCTTAAAATCAGAAGAGGATTAAGACATAAATATTGTCTCATTTTCGACGCACGTCTTGCCCAAGCATGATTTTCGGCCTAGGTGAATTTGAATAATTTACTGAGACGAGCGAGCGTGCAGAGCAAATGTTTACAATAAAAGAGCGGCGCGGCCCAAAGTCCATTAATTACAGCTTGCGCGACGTGCGGCATAATTAAATCTACTTAACACGCGGATTAAGCGCGCGTCGTCGTCATTCATTGGAGCGTTGGTGGAAGAAGAAGAAATTGCACGGAGCCTTTATTAAAACGGCGCAGAATTTAATTAAAACAAGCCAGCCAGCCAACAGCCAGACTGAGTTAAGAGAGCGAAAGAGGCAGATTAAATGCATCTTATTAGATAGAGCAGCTTGTAAATTTCGACTCTACTGCGGGTAAAAAACTAATTAGAAAGAAAATTGACGATGCAGCGCGCATACACGGGAACCAACTTGTTGAGACATACTCAAAAAAAAAAGGAAGCAGGGATTCGACTGCTTGGCTGTACAAAATAACTTTTTAAAAGGAAACATCTCAATTTTGAGAAAAAGGCGGAAAACGGCCTTAGGAATTTTCCTTGATTTTTTTTCGAAGCAAATTAAAGCAATTTTGCGGGCAAATATTGTGTTAAATTAAGGACCATCAAAATATTCGAAATTCAATATAATTATTATTCGAGTCGAGAATATCAAGTTTCAATCAAATTTCTAATTTGAGTCCAATAATTTTTTAATGAAATAATCTGTAAAAATTAAGAAAATGATCATTACAGGGGATAATAAAAATCAAAGTCTGCAAAAAACTTTTTCGTTTTAAATAATTAATAATTAAATAGAAATCATGGCAAGAATTTTCTTATGTACATAATATGTACTAAAAATGAGCACACAGAAAACTGTATTTACTATCAATAAATAAATTAATTGTATTTTTTTTTTAAATGTGTTACGTTTGAACACTTAACGATATTTTATTATCTTCTTTCCCTCTTGATTAGTTTAAAATGATCCAATCAATTTGATCAATGTTTGTCTTTGTTTATACTTTCATTCAGCCATCACCATTTATTACGCCTACTTCATCATGTTGAATAGAATTTATGGTCACAACAAAGATATACAAAAAACATCAAAACATGCTTAGAAACTACTCAGCCGTTGGTATTATGTTGAAGGTGTTACAAGATAAAACAATGGTCTTGCGCCCATTATGCAACGCTCATGTTCCCACAACACACGTCGGTGTCGGCGGATTAATTGCGCGCCCAACTGACTCACTCACGTGTTTCCCTCTACCCAGCAATCTTCCCATTGTTTAATTCTTCTTCGGCAGACTTTCAAATGCCGCCTTGAACTACTAATCCGCCGTGATTACGCGACTGATCATTATTATTATTACGAATCGATGGATGTGTCGTCTGCCTGTTTTAATAATACAGTGTTTGATGAATGCATTCACTACACAGAGAAGTACATTTTTATCTTCGGCTTTTATCAAGGCCGGCGAATGTATTAGTACGTGTTGTAAAATTTAATGCAGCCGCAAGAAGTCTTATCTACATAATATTGCCCAATTTTCTCACCCAACTCCACTCAAGGCTGCGCTTTAACACATTTATACGTGGAAATATTATGCACTCAAATTTTATAATCTACTTGAAAGGCTGGGATAGAGGGGAACATAGAAATTTTACTCGTTTGAAGACGGCACCTTATCTTTTGTGCTCAAAAGTGACTATTGAAAAGAGAGGAAAATTGTGGTTGTAAAATATCTAGATAGGTGACTTGTCGATTTCTTTGGTATCTCAGAATACTTTTTGTCAATTAAATTCATTGCATACGGGAATATTTGTGCTTGAAGTACTTAATGGTGTGACAGAGAAATTTATTTTTTAATCTAGCAGTTTTTCAACTCATCATAAAGCATTTTAAGCACAAATATAAAGAGAAAATCTTTTAAAAATTTTATGAAGTTACCTTGGTTAATAATTTTATTATAGTTTGAATCAAAAATCTTAAACTGGAATTTTATTTTCCCCAAATTTTGCAATGGCAATTCCTTACAGTTCAATAAACGTATAGATTTACTGGATTGAAAGCTTTCAATAATTGATGGAAATTATTTTACAATGCAGTATCCTTAAATATCATCTTAATATGAAGCTAATCAATAATAATAACCTTGAACCACATGCAACAGTATGCAAACACTTATTTTTAAATTGTAGAGTGTCATAATAAATAAGTGCATCTGAGGATTGCAAAATTTATATTTAATGTTTCATAAAAAGAAACTTTGTTTTCAATTTCAAGGAAATTTCACGAAATATAAAAGCAAAGTTAGACTGCAAACTATAAAAAAATAAAAAATTATTATTTAAAATTTAAACTTAAACAAATTAATAAAGCTGAAATATCAAATATTAAATTTAACTGATATGTTAAAATTTATTAATTTAACATTATATTTTTAGTATGTATCTTTTGTAATTCTTTTGATGTCGGGCGTTTTAACAGACATCTGCTAGTTGTGAACACTTTATTATCTATTTTTCCATTTTAAATTTTTTTGTATTGACTGAGAAGAATAAATAATATTAAATCTACATTTGCTTAAATGTTTCAATATTTCCATTCTTGCCTTTTCTAGATTCTCCCAACGCAGAGTCGAATATACCCTGCAGTCCTCTTCAACCAGAGCTCTTCTTCTTTTCCAAGGTAAGCAATTTTTCTATAACAAAAAAGGATTCAGCAATTTTCGGTCGTAAAAGTAACCTGCGCGCGGAAAGAGATTAAACTGGGTAGATCCTCTCATGCCGTGAGGGGCAGCGGCAGATGGGAAATTTCAAAAATGTCACTCGTCGCGCACACTTGCGTGTGTATGTCTCTTAGGTCTACGCTTTTCCCTCGGGGGCCATTTTCCAATCCAAAGGTAGCGATCAAATGACGAGTCTTTTTACTGCGCGTCTCTGTCTCCTCGCCTTTCATGCTCAGCTGCCCTAGCCCTGCTCTCGGCGTCCATTCGAAACTACTACCGTCCGTCCATTCCGCCTTAAAAGCCAAATTAACTCGACTTGCTGCTGCTTCTTCTTCTTCTTTTATTTTTATTTCTCTCGTCCTTTTATATACAGCTGCTGCTGCTTTCTTACTTTCAAGAGACGTGTGGCAGATTGATGATGGTGCAATTCTCGAACACCCGCGCGCGAGACCAATCGGTGAAATGAAACGCGCTTGTCAAACCGTGCGGTAATTAGTCCAATCTGTAGAGGAACAAAAGCACGAGACAAGGTTGTAAAAATATACAGATTCCGATCATAACATCCATCATGTTTTCCGATTGTTTGTATACAGAAATGTATACAATTGGCAACTTTCAGCCTGGATTGAGACAATCTATTGTATAAAGTGAGCAGGAAAACTTTTGTGTTAAGTGAATGTAAACCAACATGAACAATTTATATTATGTTCATTGACTAATTTGTTGTACACTACTTGTTCTAGTTTATTGATAATAGGAATTTAAGTTTTAACTAGCACTAAAAGTATGAAGAAAAATATTTGTCTTTCGCATCCAATTTAAAACGTTATTAAAAAATATAATAATAGCTTAAAAGTCGAAAATTAAGTGATATTGTAATTGATGGTGGCCTTCTGGATAAAAACTAGTTCCTTTTTATTTATTATTAATGCCAAAAGAATAACGTCATATCTGCGTAATGAATATTTATTAGGCTTGTAATAAAAGTTTTAACTTTTAATTTATCTTTCTTAAATAATTTTTAATTAATTTGAAAAAGTTATTATTTATTTTTTAATGCCTAGTTTTAAACTGTTATTTTTTTATTACATCAAAATTAATTCACTTTTATCATTTTTGTTAAATTTTATAATTTTTTATTATTTATAATTAAGCTTTTTTTGCTTTATATGAATGATTTTAAATGAAATTATTTAATTGTTTTAATTATATGAAAGTTATGTAGCAAGATATCAATACAATATGTTGTCTCTTGAGAGTCATACCATTTTTTTTAATGTGCATTGTGTAAGACTGTGGCTCGACTTTAAAGCCATTACACTAATCCCTGACTTAACTGTCATGAAAATTATTTAATAAATAGAGAACATATTTACATCCTTTAATTTAAAATCATAAAAAATATACATGCAAAACTCTCTAAATTTTGTTCTTTATATCAAAATTGTCTTTAAAGATATCAAACTTTAATTAATAAGATATAATAAATATCAGCTAAACATTTTTTAACCAAAAAGTCGTTTTCCTGTTTCATAATTGAACCTTATAAAATAACTTTCCAGCTCTTTCTGATTTTTATTTTTATCTTTTTACTCCAAATTTGTTTTCTTCTATATTTTAAACACGAATATTAGAATAAAAAAACAATTTTAAAAGAAACTTAATTAATAACACAAAAGAATAGTTTTGAATTATTCGTTCTCTTATCCTTTGGGCGCGCTAGTCAAATAATGAACGCGCCGAGTGCTGTTCTGCTTTGCTTTCATTGTTTTTCCGGCTTAAGCACACGTCGTCTTTGGATTCTTTGGGCACATTCCGCGGGGCACGTATATGTTTGGAAGTAGACAAAAGCCGAGACTTTTTGAATGTTGTCTTTGCGCAAACATTTGCGCCCGACGCCGCCGCTGCTGGGCTCGAAATTAATTACTTTGTCTTCTCGCTCACTCCGCCGCCGAGAAAATACGCGAAACACGACCTGCAGCTGCGTGTCAAGTAAAAAGGAGCAGCCACGTGAACGAACGAGCGATTTCTCGGAAAGCACATCAAAGAATTACAGGAGAGCTGCATTTGGATTCTGGGCCCAGGCATTAATTCACTTGGGTGCGGAGCGAAACTTTAGCCAGCCGGCTTGAGAGGCTCCGACCTTAAAAAATTTATATTTATTTTGTAGATTGAACTCTCCCACTTAGGCAAGCAGGTTGAGAGCCGCTCGGCAATCGGATCCGAATTTGCTTGCTCATCAACAAGCAACCACTTCCTTCAAACGCTTTGACACACTCCAAAATGTCATTGGTGCTAACTCGAGTTGAAAGTGAGTTAGGTTCACTTGGTCCAGAAGGGAATAACGCTTTTGGATTTTGGTTTATTTGATCAGAGTTTGATTTCACTCTCCAGGTTTAGAGTTTCTTGTTCACGAGAAGGAGAAAAGACAGCTTAATTTAAAGGAACTTACATATTTTTAATAAAAAAAAAAAAAAATTTAATAATAAGACTTATTTATTAACACATTAAATTTAATACATATTATTTTGTAGCTTTTTTTATATTCAATTTTTAAAAAATATTAAAAGTATTAAATATTACAACTGTAATATATTCATGCTAAATTTTTAATTCCTTCAAGTAATTCTTGCTGTTGACAAAGATGTAATAAAAATTTATATAATAAGTGCATTCTCAATGTGAGCAAAATATAAGTTTCTCGATTAAAATTGTCTCAATGAAAAGAGTTTTCTTGACATTTAAAATGATATATGAACAAATTAAATTGAAAAAAATAATTTAATATGATTTTTGACGCCGAATCACTGTGTTTTTGCTTTTTAATTGTCATTGATTTCCACTGTTTAAATAAAACTGCACGTTAGCTCAAGTCGTCTCCAACTTTCGCTTTCAAATTTACCTACCGTTTTTGGAGCGCTCGGTCAATATTTGGCTGCTCATTTTTCCTCTCCCGAAAAACTTTCGTGATCAACGAGCAAACTTTGGAGCTCGATTTTAATTTGCAAAAGTTTCCCTGAAATCGGATCTTCCTCATTATGTAGCAGGTGGAAGAAAACAAGTCCAATTTTGGCGGGGCCTCTTCTTTTTCGGCCGTAAATTACGCTGCAAGAAGTCGAGCGAGCAAGTGGGTCTCCAAGCGTGAAATGTCGCAACAGGAACTTGTAAAGAATCCCACGGCGTGTTTCTGGCCAAAACGCTCCCCGTTGTTTTGGCGCAAGAATTATATTATCTAATGACGTTTTTTTTTTTGCTGCTGTCGCCACAGGTTGCATTTTGGCAGGCGCCTCGACAAAATTATTTGCATTTTCGCTTTTTGATTCACATGCAAATTTGGTGACGAAAAAAAAACAGAAACTCGCATGCGCGCTCACCTACCTGTAAACAAACGGGTCCACTTAACAATTTATTCGTCTTGCCTCATAATAAAACGCGGCGGCCTTTATTGTCCCGCGATTTAATCAACGAATTCGTTAGCGTGCACCGTGGCGTGCTCTGCCCCAATAATATTCCGTTGCGACCCCTCTCGGTTTATTTTTGGCCCTTGATGTATTCATTTGGAACATTTTTATGGGCCCGCGTTGTAAAATGGGTGAAATAAAAAACGGGGAAAAAGGAAACGAGTGAAGGAAGGCTTACGATGAAAATCAATGCTCGTCGAAAATGACCCACTTAAAGTATTAAGATGAGGGTTTCGTGACTCGTCCGAAAGGAGAAGTAGAAATGTCATCCGCCTGTATAGATTTGATAAAACTGTGCCGCCGAACATCAATGTCGAGCCGGTTGCATAATATTATGTATTTCATAAATCACTTTTATACAACACAAATTTACTCGGAGAACGAAAATTGCCTGCAATTTTAATATTTCTTATTTATTTCCCTCGTTTGAAATGAAAAAAAAAATATTTTATTCCTGCAGTTTTAAGTATTCTTTAAAAATTAATAATAAAACACCACGCATTTAGGACTTTGCTTAATGAAATACTCCACTCGTAAATTCCTCCTGATTCATTTCAAAAGTATTTAAATTCCTAGCCGTCGGAATCCGCACGTATTTGCAACAAAGTATGTTTACGTCCTCGGCTCTCGCTCCAATTAGACACACAGCGGCGCAGGAATGCTAATCACGAAGTTCTCCTCTCTCTCTGTACCCGGTGTGTGTGTTTTAGTAAGTATATGCGTATGTTCGCTCAGCATGAACGTACGCGGGGCTCATCCGCACGCAAATTCAAGCCATCAAGCATCTCGTTAGAGAGTCGTAATCCGCGCCGGGGAATCTTAAAACTTCCCTCTTCTCGCTCCCATATTTTCCACTCGCTGCATCTACGTGCCGACATTATTTTCGTGTGCGATAAAATCCGCCGCACCTGAGGCAAGTGGAAGAGAGAGGCACATCTCAATCTGCGAGAGGGAAAACATGTGCCCACCCTCCTTGCATAACCTGGCGATTTTTCATTGCGCCCTTAACACTCCCACGTGGAAATTGTGGAAATGGAGCTGTCGGGATGAGAGACGGCCGGGATTGGGCACGAAAACGCGCCCTTTGTGTTTTGCAATTCATGCTAGAAACGTCAGAATCTAAATATTTACTGCTGTTTTACTTCCCTTGTTCTGAATAATTTTACTTAAATTAAATTCAATGTGAAGCTCAACAGCTTAACTTCATAGAAGCTGAGTGAATTTTTAATTTATTTTATAAATTTTGAAAAGAAAAAATGCCTATCGTTAATTTTATAGACATGACAGAGGGTATAATTTTGGAATTGTATTCACATGAATAAAACTTATATAAAATATAATTTTTCTAGGAGAAAAAAGTTTAAGAATATTTAGAATGAATTATTTCCTAATAATTTAAGTATTTTTGCTATTCTGTTCTTATATAATTCGTTATTTCTATTCAGTTGCATTTTGAATATCTCCAAATTACAAATGATGTGTTTTATAGTAAACAAAGA